ATCTTGAAAAAACGAAATTGGTAAAAAGGATATAAGTTTATTTATGTAAATATTGTTAATATTTATTTTTATTTTTCAGTGGGAAAATACATAGCATCCCGATCCACACTCCACTGAAGTAGATGGTGGTAATGCACATCATAAAGTTGCTTGCCAACCGCCATAAAACAGAAGCAGAAGAAGAAGAAACAGTTTTACTAATGCAAACTATAGAAAAAATTAAAGAAATATACTTACAGAAAGCTGACGGGATTCCATTGCTCTCAACTTAGCAGGTACAACCCCTAGGACCCCAGTAACGTCACGTACTGTGCAATACAATACCGCCAACTGGTGGTATGTGGCTGTATGTGAAGCAAGTTGTGCTGAACTGCCGCAGCAGAGAGAGGCTGTCTGTGAGCCTGCGAGCCTGCGGTCAGGGCAGCATGTGAGCCTGCGAGCCTGCGCAAGGGGTTACAAATCGCGAAAATACACATACAAATCCTTCTACGCATTTGTGCATCTCACGCGGCAGAAGAGTAGCAAAAATCACGTGTGTAAAGAGAGCCAACCGAAAAACCGCTTGACTTGTAATCAATGATTTGTCTGTATTTCTGGGTCTTGAAGAGAAAATACTTCAGACACAAGTGTCTCTGTGTGTGCTTACAGATTGATCTACACATTTGCAAGTCTCAGTACACATTTGCAGATCTGAATACAGATTTGTGGATTTTTTACACATTTGCAAATCTCAGTACACATTTGCAGATCTGAATACAGATTTGTGGATTTTTTACACATTTGCAAATCTCAGTACACATTTGCAGATCTGAATACAGATTTGTGGATTTTTTACACATTTGCAAAACGGATTAATTCAATTCAATTCAGTTTATTTATATAGCGCCAAATTCACAACACATGTCATCTCAAGGCACTTTACAGTTCAACCAGATCATACAGTCAAATTGATACAAAGTTTTCTATCTAAGGAAAACCAGTTGATTGCATTGACTCATTGACTCAAATACAATCCCCCACACTAAGCATGCTTGTAGCGACAGTGGAGAGGAAAAACTCCCTTTTAACAGGAAGAAACCTCCAGCAGAACCAGGCTCAGTGTGAGCGGCCATCTGCCGAGGCCGACTGGGGTTCAAGGAGACAGAAGCAGAGATACAAAAAGCAGCTGTAAAAGGCGGCCCCGTCCAGGAAACACGCAGCCAGGCAGACGAGCTCCAAGGCAGCTCCCATGCCAGAGGACGAAGAGAGCACATCCACTCAGTCACGGTCAGAGAAACAGGACCACACTGGAAAACAGGCCGATCTCCAACATCTATAAACAAGGGGGTTGATAGAAGCAGCACAGCTGATGTTTCTTTCCAGGATGACGTCACAGCCAAACAGGAACAGACGAGGCAAAGCTACTCTGAGGAAAAGCAGAGAGAGCAGAAGGTTAGAGACTGAACTAACAGATTCTGCAGAATAGGAGAACAGAGAGAGAATGAAGCAGAATGATGAAATGGGGGTCCCTATGTCCTCCAGCAGTCTAAGCCTATAGCAGCATAACTATAGAGATAGCTCAGGATAACCTGAGCCACCCTAACTATAAGCTTTATCAAAAAGGAAAGTTTTAAGCCTAGCCTTAAATGTAGACAGGGTGTCTGCCTCATGGACTAAAACTGGTAGTTGGTCCCACAGGAGAGGAGCCTGATAACTAAAAGATCTGCATCCCATTCTACTTTTAGAAATTCTAGGAACCATTAGTAAACCTGCAGATTGAGAGCGAAGTGCTCTGTTAGGAACATAAGGAACAATCAGATCTCTGATATAAGATGGAGCTTGGCCATTTAAGGCTTTATATGTGAGAAGGAGGATTTTAAATTCTATTCTTGATTTAACAGGAAGCCAATGAAGAGAAGCCAGGATAGGCGAGATATGATCTCTCTTTTTAATTTTCATTAGAACTCTGGCTGCAGCATTTTGGATCAGCTGAAGGCTTTTAACTACAGTTTGTGGACTTCCTGATAGTAAAGAATTACAATAGTCCAGCCTTGAAGTAACAAATGCATGGACTAGTTTCTCAGCATCACCCCTGGACAGGATATTTCTAATTTTTGTAATGTTCCTCAGATGAAAGAAGGAAATTCTAGAAACCTCTTTGATGTGGGATTTAAATGACAGGTCCTGATAAAAAATAACACCAAGATTTTTTACTTTATTATCTGAAATCAGTTTAATCCCATCCAAATGAAGTGACTGGCTAATCAGTTTCTTTTTCAGAGACTCTGGTCCAAAGACTATAACTTCTGTTTTGTCTGCATTCAGGAGCAGAAAGTTAAGAGTCATCCAGGTTTTTATGTCTTCAAGACATGCCTGTAATCTATGTAATGGGTTAGCTTCATCTGGATTTATAGACAGATATAGCTGGGTATCATCAGCGTAACAGTGGAAATTAATCCCATGCTGTCTAATAATTCTACCAATTGGGAGCATGTATAAAGTAAAGAGAATTGGTCCTAGCACTGATCCCTGTGGTACTCCACAGGTAACCTTTGAGCGTGTTGAAGATCTATCATTAACATGAACAAACTGAATTCGATCAGATACATAAGATTTAAACCAGTCTAGTGCTGTTCCTTTAATTCCAACAAAATATTCAAGTCTTTCTAAAAGAATATTATGGTCAACTGTATCAAATGCAGCACTAAGATCCAACAGGACGAGCACAGATACAAGTCCATTATCTGAGGCCATGAGAATATCATTAGTGACTTTCACCAGAGCTGTTTCAGTGCTATGATGAGCTCTAAAGCCAGACTGAAACTCTTCAAAAAGTTCATTATGGTGGAAGTGATCGCAAACTTGTTTGGCAACTACTTTCTCAAGAATTTTGGATAAGAAAGGAAGATTGGATATAGGTCTCTAATTGACCAAGTCATCTGGGTCAAGAGACGGTTTCTTAAGCAGAGGTTTAATTACAGCAACCTTAAAAGCTTTAGGTACATATCCCTGTAACAGAGATAGATTAATCACATCTAAAATGGAGGAGGAGATCAAAGGGAATACCTCCTTAAATAACCTTACATATATATTACACACAAGTAGTTTTACACATTTGCAGATTGTTGTACAGACACACAAATCTCCTCACACATTTACAGATTTATTTACACATTTTCAAATCCCACTGCACACACACAAATCGAGATACAGACACACAACTCTCCACACACATTTGCAAATATTAAAGCTACCATTTTGGCCCCATAGACTGGGGTTCAAGGAGACAGAAGCAGAGATAGAAAAAGCAGCTGTAAAAGGCGGCCCCATCCAGGAAACACACAGCCAGGCAGGCAAGCTCCGAGCCAGTTCCCATATCAGAGGATGAAGAGAGCACATCCAGTTAGTCACAGTCAGAGAAACGGGATGCTGGAAAAACAGGCCAAGCTCCAACATCTATAAACAAGGGTGTTGATGGCAGCAGCACAGCTGATATTTCTCTCCAGGATGGAGTCACAGCCAAGCAGGAACAGACCAGATGAAGCTACTATGAGAAAAAGCAGAGAGAGCAGAACGTTAGAGATTGAACTAACAGATTCTGCAGAGTGGGAGAATAGAGATAGAATGAAGCAGAATGATGAAAAAGGGGCCCCTATGTCCTCCAGCAGTCTAAGCCTATAGCAGCATAACTATAGAGATAGCTCAGGATAACCTGAGCCACTCTAACTATAAGCTTTATCAAAAAGGAAAGTTTTAAGCCTAGCCTTAAAAGTAGACAGGGTGTCTGCCTCACAGACTAAAACTGGTAGTTGGTTCCTCAGGAGAGGAGCCTGATAACTAAAAGATCTGCCTCCCATTCTACTTTTAGAAATTCTAGGAACCACTAGTAAACCTGCAGATTGAGAGTGAAGTGCTCTTTTAGTATAATATATTAAGAGAACTGCATGAAGTGAAATTTCTTTTCAATCAGGCTTAAAGGAAAATTCCGGTTTTTAACACTTTTAGCCCATTTTCTGTAGTGTCCAGGATGCATTCGAATGATCGACACCAAAATTTTGACGATTGGTCCTGTCTCTGCTATTTGGCTCATGCAGAATCCCCCCCTAGCTGCTTCAGAATGGCTTCCATAGTGCATGTCCGATAATGTCCTTAAAACAACCTTAAACGTTCTTTTTTTTAAATATGCTACTCACCGGGTCGTCAGCGCTGTTCAATGACGTTCCAAAAAAAGTTTCGTGAAGAAAAACCGTTCCTGTCTTGTTTTATTTAGCATTTTGTAAATCCCAGAACTATTTTTTTCCGATACGTCACAACCGCTTATAATTTACACAACCGGTCTATAATTGACCAAGTCATCTGGGTCAAGAGACAGTTTCTTAAGTAAAGGTTTAATTCCAGCAACCTTAAAAGCCTTTGGTACATATCCCTGTAACAGAGATAGATTAATCACATCTAAAATGGAGGAGGAGATCAAAGTGAATACCTCCTTAAATAACCTGGTTGGAACTGGATCTAACATCCAAGTTGAAGGCTTAGATGAAGACAACAGTTTTAATAACTCTGAAAGTTCAACTGGATCAAAGCAGTCTAAACCCTGTTCAGATTCTATGCAGTCATCTATGAAGTGATCCTACATTATTATAGTGATCCTTTAATAGTGATCCTATATTACTGAGAATTGTCTTTCTCCTGGAGAAGAGGAGACGGTTTAGCTTGTCATCCCTGTTGTTACCACATCAGGCTATTTTGTTGATTTTTGGTGCTTTTATTACAGTTACTTTAAGGTTGTAGTTTTCCCCTTTGTTTATATTTCTCTCAGATATCTGCTGGCCTAGATCTTTCATATTTCCCTATAATAAAAATCCTGATTTCTTTACAGTATTTCTATTTTCATTTCATGTTTTAACTGTTAAATCTGCTTGGGATTCGCTGACTTTCTGTTCCTGGTTCTTCCTTTCAGCCCTGCCCTGCAGGTGCACTCTGCATTGCCTGAAAATATATGTGCGGTTCTGTTTCCTCAGATCTGTGCAGCAGCCCCCCACAGACGGCCGAGGAGCTGGAGAGCAGGAACAAGCTGCTGAGTCTTCTAGACTCTGTCATTGATGCTCTGGTTTGGGCCATTTCCAAACTGGGGCTTTCCACCCAGCAACAGACCCTTCGCCTTGGCCATCTCACCATGCTGCTCTCCCACATTCGCCACGTCAGGTACAACCGTGACACAGCATGCTGAGAATGCTTCGTGTTTTTGTCAGTAGAGCCTTACCTGTTGGTCTGAGCCAGCACTAGGAGGAGCATTTCTCTGCATGTCTGTTAGGAACCCTGGATTTAATTTCCTTCATTAATCCCATTTCCACGAAGGAAACGTTTCAGGAACTAATTTTCTAAGTGCAGGAACCAAAACCAGTCAGAGACCCAGGGTGGACCAGTTACTCAAAAAACCACCCGGTTAGGGATGTAGGATGGTTTGGAGGCACCTTGATCCAAAGGTGGAATTTTATACGGAGAAATCCTAAACATTTTAACTTAGGGGAGGAACGACCTTAAAGACCAACCTGGTTCAGCTGGTGGTCCTCTTCAGGGTCGTTTACATGTGACCACATAGATTACATTTAAATAAAACCTTTAATCCAGAAAACCAATCATACATGCACACATTCACCAACTGACCAATCAGCATGAAGGGGTGTTTCTTCCTGCTGGTGTAACCAGTGGCTGTCCTGGGTTGGCAAAGAGGTTTTAGGTTTCCTGGGTTCCTGTTTTCTTTATTATCTGAGAAAACATAAGAAATTAGTTTTCCTAATTTGGCCCCCATGTAGGGGCCCGAGCCAACAGACACATGAAGTGGATCCTTCTGATGAGACCAGGATTGGATTATTTGGATAAAAATGAAATTCCACACAAGTTAAAAACCAGAGATTATAGATTAGTGCACAACATCCCACTGTGTGACAGAGTGGTGGCAGCATCATGCTGTGGGGAGGTTGTACAGATAAGCTGGTAGAGATGATGGAAAGGTGGGTGGAGCTAAATCAGAGGAGCTCTGGAAAAAAAACAGTTAGAGGCTGGAAAAGTGCTCAAACTGGGGTGAAGGTTCATCTTGGAGAACCAGCGTGAAGATGCCGCCGGAGCACTGGCATAACTTTTTGAAGGGCTGGTGTCGACATGTTCCCACCAACTTTGGCAACTGTGTTCAGAGCGTTTACAGTCAGTGTTTTTTCCTTGCTCTCCCGCAGCTCTTGAATCCCACCTCTCGGTGAAATATCATCAGATCTGTCGCTTTGGGACATTAAGTTGTTTGGGGTCGTTCTTCACTGCATACAGAGTCGCCACATGGAGGCGGAGAGACACAGCAGCACTCAGTGAATATTAACCGGCAGCTACTTCGATATATGTTTCAGTAAAAGTTAGGAGATGGGCTGGTTAAAAAAGTTAGAGATGCCACAGAAAAACCCCTTTGTTACACATACCGAGCTTTTTCAGCAAAAAATGGCAACAGAGTTTACATTTATATAAGTTAAAAAAGCTGGGCTTCTCGGAGGACCATTACTCAGAGTTACAGATTAAAATGAACACGTATCTGTTGTTTTCTGATTGAACAGAGAGTCGACTCATTGACTCTTCAGAAATCCCTCACACTAAGCATATTGGTAGTGACAGTGGAGAGGAAAATCTCCCTTTGAACAGGAAGAAACCTCCAGCAGAACCAGACTCAGTGTGAGTGGCCATCTGTTAAGGCCTTGTTGAGGGAGGGATTTCTTTTGGCTGCCTTGCTAGCTGTTGGTCACTCAGGCTAACTGCCTCCTCCTCTCTCCACAGCAACAAAGGTATGGACCACCTGTCCACCATGAAGAGGAAGAACGTGGTGCTGGTGTACAACCTCCTCCTGGAAATGCTGGATGCCAACACATCCAGCAGCAGCCAAACGGCGGCGTCTTCCTCCGATGCCTACGGTGACCTACAGGAGCACCAGCCTCCTCCTTCGTTTTACCTGCAGGCTGATCTAGATCAGAACCTCACTACCCATCCAGGTTCTGATGGTCCAGTGGCACCTGATGAGGACCACGCCATGGTCAGGCACCTGCAGGCTCGAGGCCTCCTGTCCTCTCCTCTGTCTCAAATGAAAAGCGAGAGGTGAGTAGGAGGGGTCGTGTTCTGGGTTCATCCAGTCCAGATTAACCCTAATCATTAATCTATAACAACCCTAAAACAAAGAGACTGTTAATAAAACTCTTTCACCTAGATCTAGATTTCCAGATCTGTTCTGCTGCTGATGGTTACTCTGTTTGTTTCTCTCACAGCTATGTCGCTGCAGCTCAGTGGTCACTGGACGGAGGGGATGAGCCCCTAGGTTACATCATCCCTGATCGGGTTGCCATGGAAACCACCTCACAAAATAAGTGAAAAATCCAGAAAAGGAAATGGACAAAGAGTTGTTGTTCAGATGTTGTTTCGACTGTAGCGGGTTTAGTGGTCAGTATTTTCTGTGGACGTTGATGAGAACTTGGTCCAGTTCTGGGTTCTGTTCTCTCCATTTTGCTGAAACATCCAGAACATCTGTGAAGCTGCATGCTGACCATCCTGGAGGACCTTGCACTACTTCTTTCTGTACTCTGATATGAACCTGCAGCCTGTTGTGTGTCGGTGGAGCAGCTCTGAGCTCTGTGGCCTTTTACCAAAGTGACTGTTAAGACCTTCTCTGATGCTTTGCTTCCACTAAGGCTGAATTTATACAATCAAACTTCAACTCTTTTCTTTTCTTTTTTTTTACATCTTTAAAGCTAAAACTAAAACACCTGATCAGCTGGATGAGCTCCTGGAGCTGAGAGGATCTCATCTACCTCCATCACCTTGGATCTCCTCTCTGCTGAAGGTGTTTCCATAAGGAGAAGAATTGTCGACAGAAACCTGAAGCTGGTCTCTAAATGAGCAGAACCAGCATGTTCTGGGTGCATCCAAAGATTCTGGAGGAAGGCTGTCAGTAGCCATCTTCTGACCTGCAGCAGGTCTGGATCTGCTGGTCCCACAGGCTCCCAGATCGAATGAGTTCTGATGCTGCTCAGAACGGAGTGGGTGGAGCTTCACCTTCACAAAGCAGCTCAGACCAACTGGACAAGTTCTTACTGGTTCTGCATCTCCTGGGTGTTCAGGCTGATTCTCCTCCTGGAAGGTGGATCTCCAGCCCGTCTAAGAAAACAGGGCATGAAGACCAGTACTGGGACCAGGCGTGAAGTTCTGGTGAGGTCATAACCATCCCCTGAACTTTTCTGGTCTCTGCTTCCTGAGTTTTAATCCCAACTCTCCGAAGTCCTCAAACATGTAGAGTTTTAAAGATGAAGGTGCTTTTTGGAGCTCAGTGTAAATTCAGCCTTTGGCAGCATTTCATCTGACCTTTGACCTTTCTATCACATGCATGAACCCGTCTGATCCAATCAGAGAACTTTACTGTTTATATGTTACTGATGTTAACGTCCGTCAGAATCCAGAACCAGAGCAAACAGAGCAGAACATCAACCCGGTTTATTAAGTGTTATAAATAAAGCAACTTTTTACACTTCCTGCGGTCCGATTCTGTTCATTTAGAGCACAGAACCTTCTACATACATCTACAGAACCTCATAGCCCTCCCCACCCCCCAACATAAATATTAGAAATTCATTCAAGACATTCAAACGCAAAACGACCATTTTTGTTTGTCCTTCTGCGAAAATGGCCGCTCTTCTTCTTTTTCTACTTCTTGTTCGTTCGCTTCAGACATGAAAATAAATACTGATTTAAAAAACCAAGCAGAATTACAATAGGCCTTTGCAGCGCTTCGCTGCTCGGGCCTAACTATGGCTTTAAATTCAAAGTTCATCCAGAGGGAACCTCTAGAACCTGCAGGAGAGCAGGTCAGGAGATCCCAGCAGCGTCAGGTGGGCGGAGGACCGTTGGTGTAGTGCAGCATCGGGTGGAAGGATCGAGCAAAGTTGTTGGACAGCATACAGCTGTGGTCCTGGTCAGACAGTGGCACCAGAACCAGCAGAACCAGGACCAGCAGAACCAGGAACAGCAGGTGGATGGAAAAGGCGGCACGGAGGAGCCGGGAGAAGACGTCCCTTCTCTGTTCTCTGCAGGAGGACAAACATCAGTGATGGACGGCTTCCTTCTTATAGTGGACATTTAAAACGGTAAACATTCAGAAGGTCCAAATGTTCTGGACCAGACTCAAAGATCTCTCTCCTCTCATATGTTCTCTGCCTTCAGGTTGCTCACATGTTCCAACAAAGACAATCTGGAGGGTTTTTGTATCAGACCATGATGTCAAAGAAAAAGATTCAAATCTATTAGAACAGCTTTTACTTTTCTATTCATTGTGTCGGTCGTTCACAGTGAGATCCCCCCACCCCTTGGAGTCAGCCCCTTTTCGCTGTGACCACAGACTGACTAACGGCGGCCATGTTGGGTTTGGGTGAGGCTCTGAGAGGATGAAGAGATGAAGGAGGAGGAGGAAATTCAAGACGTTACCTGACAGGAGGAGCCTTTGAGGGGGGAGCTGCTCGTGAAACGGCCTCCTGAAGGTAAAAACAAAAACACATCGGAATCAGCTCAGAAAAAAAAATACTTTTCTTTCTGGTCAGCAGAATAAACCAACATGGAGGGATCCTCAATCGTTTATGTCTCTTTTCTTTAGGGATCAGATCAGTTCACAGGAAGTTTCCTCTAACTGATGATGATGATGACCAAATTTTCTACTTTCTTACAATTCAAACCTTGTCAAACTTTTAGCCAGTTTTCGTTATTTTCCTTTATTCTTGGATAGGGCTGGGTAAAAAAAAATCGATTTAATCGATTTTGAATTGATTCTTTTACAATTTTGCAAAATCGATGTCTAGGGAATGAGATCGATTCATTTTATAATGACGCGCGCGACGTTCACATTCAAATAAGCAGGAAAGATGCACTCAAGATGACTTCAAGCCAGACAGCTGCAAATATAGCCAACAGGTTGACTGAAGACATTAACAAATTGGGGCTGACCAGAAGACACCCTGTAGTTGTTTCAGACAACGCTGCAAATATGGTTTGTGCAGTGGAGATAATGCAGCTCATGCATGTCTGCTGTGTCACGTCTTCTCGCTCGAGTGAAGCTTTACTTTTTCACTTTTCACAAACAAGTTTGCACTTTTGAGACAGTTTTGTTCACATCTCATGTTTAAACTGCCTGATATACAAGTTTGCACTTTAAGTTTAATGTGACTGGAAAAAATAAAATACATGAGTGTTTTGAAACACAGTTGAACCACTTTCATTATTGTAAAAACAGACTGAATCAAAATTAATCGATTTAGAACTTTGGTCTGAGACCAACTGAGGTTTACCTGAGGAAGCAGCAGAGGGAACCTGAAATCTGCAGAGCCAGTGGAACAGTCCTGGAACAGACAGGAACCAAAAGGGAACTTTAAGTGAACAGAACCAAACCCAACAACCAACAGAACCTTTAGATTTTACAACTGAGCCAGTTTATGAGGCAGAAATAATAGTAAATCCATCTAATTCCCAGTAGAGGTCAATGTGGACCTACCAGAACTTCCTGCAGAGAACCCAGGTGTGCAGCAACCTTCTGCAGCAACAGCTTAAGCTTATTCCTAATGACATTAACCTTCTCCTTGGCCTCCAGACCTTCCTCAGAGGTGGCCTCCACCAGGAGGAGTGAGGAGATCTCCTGCAAAGCTGAAACCTGATGAAGTCTGCTTTGCAGCTCCTCCTGTAGAGCCTAAAACAGGGGGCGGCAGAGAGCAGGAGGCTTAGTCACACCAACAGGAAACCTTATGAGAGGTCTTTAGGACCCCTCTCTGCTGATCCCAGAACCTCCTGATCACAGAACCTCCCTCCTGAGCCCAGAACCTCCCTCCTGATCCCAAAACCTCCCTCCTGATCCCAGAACCTCCCTCCCGATCCCAGAACCTCCCTCCTGAGCCCAGAACCTCCCTCCTGATCCCAAAACCTCCCTCCTGAGCCCAGAACCTCCCTCCTGATCCCAAAACCTCCCTCCTGATCCCAGAACCTCCCTCCCGATCCCAGAACCTCCCTCCTGAGCCCAGAACCTCCCTCCTGATCCCAAAACCTCCCTCCTGATCCCAGAACCTCCCTCCTGATCCCAGAACCTCCCTCCTGAGCCCAGAACCTCTCTCCTGATCCCAAAACCTCTCTCCTGATCCCAGAACCTCTCTTTTGATCCCAGAACCTCCCTCCTGGTCCCAGAACCTCCCTCCTGGTCCCTCACCCTCAGCATGTCTCTCTTCAGGGGCGCCGGTGTCCTGTAGATGCTGACATCATGCAGTTTCTTCTCAGCCTCAGAGAGGAGGAGCAGCAGGGACCCCAGAGCTTCATGGAACTCCTGCAGGAAGAGATCAGCAGTCTGAGACCAGAAGGACATCTAAAGGGGAAGTTCTCCTTACCACTGAGGTCCAGACACTGACCTGACACTGCAGGACAGCGTGGTACAGCTTCCTCTGCCAGTTCTCCAAGGCGCTGCAGGCCTGAGCCCAGCTGTGACTGGCTGAGCCCAGCGCCTCCTGCAGCTCCTGCAGCTCGGTGCCGTCTGTCCGCAGGAAGTGATGGCTTCTCAGGTTGACAGACATCATAAGACATTTGTGGCTGTTGAAGGTCCTCTGCATCTCCTTCAGGGGGAAATGCATCACAGCAGCTTTAGTGTCTGCTTCTTTTCCTGATCAGTAATTTCGGGTTCAGCATCCAGATGAGGACCTTACTTTAAGCTTCCTGATCTGGGCCTCCAGGTCCTGCATGCTGGTGGGCGGGGCCATGCGCTGCAATCTCTCCAGCTCTGGCAGCACCCTGCTTAGCCAGGAAGTGACATCACAGAGCTCACAGTTGAGTTTGTGCCACTGCTCCAAGATATCCTCGATGTTTGCCTGATCTGTGAGGTTCGGGGTCAGCTGCAGCTCCCAGCGCTCCATCACACCTGAGGAGCAGAGATTCTGTGAGATTCTATGAGCGGAACCAGACCCTGCCAGAAGGCTGTATCTGAGCTACGGACCTGAGCCATGACCAGGTTTTTGGAGGTGGACCAAGTTGGGGCCTAACAGAACCAATCAGATCAGTGTTGAGGTGACTCAGATATCATGGTAAAATTAAAGCCCATCACTAAAACCAGTAATCTATTTGTAAAAAAAAAAAAAAAAAAAAAAAAAAAAAAAAGAAGGGGGATGGTGGAATATTTTTTTTTTTTTGGAAGCATCTATAGCCTAATGACTATATTCTATTAACCTAAAGCACTGTGCATTGTCTGGTTGTTCCATGTCAGGTATCCCGGCCAATGATCTAGAGCAGGGGTGCCCAACCTTTTTTAAACCAAGATCTACTTTTGAAGTTGATGGCATGCCGAAATCTACCAAGCCAAACACAACGGATGGGCAGTATTATATATATATATATATATATATATATATATATATATATATATATATATATATATATATATATATTACTACTTTTCAAGGCTGCACTTTAAAAAAAAGATTAAATTGTCCAGAGAGCTGTTCCAAACTAAATTTCCACTATTTCAGAATGATAAACTTCACTGGGCATTGGCAGAGAAACTGCCAGATGGATTAAAATTCAACTGGAAAACAGATAAAAATAGGAAAATACTGAGTACAAAATATGTGGATGTGAAGATGTAACATACAGGAGAATGGGTTGTCTACTGTTTCAGAAACTTTTTAATTTCGGGCAAAAGTTCCAAAAATCTTTTGAGGAATCTGCCATGGCTCAGCCACCTGACGTCAGTATGCAGCAGCAGAACAGTGTGGTCTGCACCTGCCTCCTCGAGCTGGGCACGTAATAAACGCCTCTGAAAACTCTCGGCCCGAATAGAGCAAGCGATCTTCATCGCAACGTCCATGACATGCTTCATATTTAAAATATTGCTGCACAGCTGCTGTTGATGAATGATGCAGCGGTAGTTTCAAAAATCCGGAAAAGTTTCAGACAGCTTGAACAGAAAGGGCAATATTATTGCTATTACTGGTGATATGTAGCAGAAATTTGACACATTCAGTGACAAAATGTCAAAGGGGATGGTAAGGGGCATGGTCATTTAAGAAGGGGGATGATTTTTAAGATTTAAAAAAAAAAATGGATGCTATCCCCAATCAAATTGAGGACTGACTAAAACGGTAATCTGGGCTGTTGCATTATGGGTGATTCCCGCCTCCCTTGCTATGATTGGTCCGTTCTGTTTTAGAATGAACAGATCCTGTCTCCTGATCTTAGAATGCTTCCTGCGCGGTACACATGGAGAACAGCTGATAAGGCTACCATTGTTACCACGGTAACATACCTGCGCTGTTCTGCCTGTTGGCTGTGCTGCTGTTCAGGCCTTCCACCTCCACTTCCTGGTCGTCATTGAGGATCAGCTTGACTCTCCTCCCAGTGTTGATGCTCCCACCGCCGTCTGACATGATTGAAGTCTGATCACGAAACACAGCAAAGAGAGGAAGCCATTCTATGTGGATCTATAGATATATATTCACATGCTAAAAACAGAAGATCCAGTCAAGGAAATGTTGAGTTTTAAAGAGAAAGACTGGATCAAAATCTATTAATTGAACAGCAAAAATTAATCGGCCCCAGAATGGCCCCACTTAAGCAGCAGTACTGAGATAAAGTCACCAGTAAGTCTCAAGTTTCTTCCCTGGTCAAGACATCTGAAGAGTCAAAGTCCAACACGTCAATATGAGCAAACACATCATTTATTTAGGGTGATAATTATTAAAATCATAATTAATTATTACTCAATGTTAAGCGTTGTTTAAATCAAACAGAACAACTAGTATGGAGTAATGAGTGGGTAACAGTAGAGAAGCTGCAGAGACGTGTGTTAAACTACGACTCTGCTTCCTGGTCTGCACCCTGGGTGGTCAGGGTTTTGGAGGACTAATAAATGTGGCCAGATTACTAGAAAGAAGAGCTGCACCTTCCAAAGTGGGATGAATCTCTCCGAATCAGACCAGGCTTTCCCCAAAAGGATTGCCAATTATTAATGTAGCCCACGTTGTTTTCAGGACACCACCTAGACAACCAGTGGTTGAATGACGACTAAACATGCCATCACTGGTCAGATCCGGGAGGGGACCAGAGAAAATTACAGAGACCGACAAACCCAGACCCACCAACCCTTAGGTCCAAAACCATAGACCCACCAAATCTTAGTTCCAGAACCCCAGACTCGCCAACCCCTAGGTCCAGAACCACTAAATCTGACATCCAGAACCCCAGACCTGCCAACGTTGAGGTCTAGAACCCCAGACGTGCCAACTTTGAGGTCCAGAACCACAGACCCACCAACCTTGAGGACCAGAACCACAGACCCACCAACCTTGAGGTCTAGAACCACAGACACCCCAACATTGAGGTCTTGAACCACTGACCCGCCAACCTTGAGGTCCAGAACCACAGACCCACCAATCTTGAGGACCAGAACCACAGACCCACCAACCTTGAGGTCTAGAACCACAGACACCCCAAACTTGAGGTCTAGAACCACCGACCCGCCAACCTTGAGGACCAGAACCACAGACCCACCAACCTTAAGGGCTAGAACCCCAGACACCCCAACCTTGAGGTCTAGAACCACCGACCCGCCAACCTTGAAGTCCAGAACCACAGACCCATCAACCTTAAGGACCAGAACCACAGACCCGTCAACCTTGAGGTCCAAAACCACAGACCCGCCAATCTTGAGGACCAGAACCTCAGACCCACCAACCTTGAGGTCCAGAACCACAGACACCCCAACCTTGAGGTCTAGAACCACCGACCCGCCAACCTTGAGGACCAGAACCACAGACCCACCAACTTTAAGGGCTAGAACCCCAGACACCCCAACCTTGAGGTCTAGAACCACCGACCCGCCAACCTTGAAGTCCAGAACCACAGACCCATCAACCTTAAGGACCAGAACCACAGACCCGCCAACCTTGAGGTCCAAAACCACAGACCCGCCAATCTTGAGGACCAGAACCTCAGACCCACCAACCTTGAGGTCCAGAACCACAGACACCCCAACCTTGAGGTCTAGAACCACCGACCCGCCAACCTTGAGGTCCAGAACCCCAGACCTGCCAACGTTGAGATCTAGAACCCCAGACGTGCCAACCTTGAGGTCCAGAACCACAAACCCACCAACCTTGAGGACGAGAACCACATACCCACCAACCTTGAGGTCCAGAACCACAGACCCACCGATCTTGAGGTTCTGAACCACAGATCCACCAACCTACAGGTCCAGAGCCCATCACTAAGAGTCTGACTCCTAGGCTTGGTCACTCTGGGGAGTTTTTCTTTCATCTCTTTGACAGTGAAAATTTTTGGTTCTTACATGTTCTCCTGGATGAAACAAAAAGCTGCTGCGGTGAGTCGGGGTGGAGCACAGACCTCGGCTCAGGTCTCTGGCGACACAGTTCCTCTGCGGGGAGCCAGGTTGATGCCAGCTGGGTTGCTCAGTAATGGATTTCACTGAGAGACAAAGAAATCAGTAAATCAACAACCTAATCCTAGTTTTGCTTTAGCTGGGGACAGGTGGTCCACAGCAGGGTCTGTCTGTCTGCATTATGTCTGCATGGTCTGGTCACCATGTCACACCTCACTGTGAACTTGGTGAGTTTCTGGAGGATGGAGAAAAAAATCCTTTAGAAACTCCAAAGAGAAGCATGCTAACTGCGAACATCTTGGAGAACTCATCCTAAATTAGGAAGAGATTCATATTAGCTGGTCACCTGACAGAACACTGAAGAACAGGGCGTCCTCTTCATCGTCGTGGGAAGATGACCCTCCCACATCCACGGTGTGGTCCCACTCCAGGGGAAGGGAATCCACGCTGACTGGGGTTTCTCTTCCTGAGCGTTCTGGAGGAGGCACCAATAGGTGGGATGTTGCCGGCCGTCCAGCTGAGACTCCGCCAAGACCTGAAGGTTCACTCTCCTCCTTCTTCCTCCTCACACTGGAGGACCGGTCCAGGTCAGTTTCCTGGTCTGACATCTCCTCATCCACAACCTGTGGGTTAAAGACAGCATGTAAAGATTCAAATTTTCATTGCTTCATCCAGGTTCTTACACTGCAAAAAATCTGAATCTAGATAAGTCATTTTTTATCAAAATAAGTGCATTTGTTCTTGGATTGAGGAGGTAAAAGAGACATTTTGCCAGTGGAACAAGACAATTTACACTTAAAATAAGAAAACACAATTGCATTGTCTTATTTCAAGTGCATTTTATCTAATTATCTTATTTTAAGAGTAAAATTACTCATTCCATTGGCAAACTGTCTCATTTACCTGCTCAAATTAAGGGTGAATACACTCAATTTAAGAAATTTTTTACTTATTTCAAGATCGTTTTTGCAGTGAATTCGTCCTTTGGATTGGGTTGGGTTAAACGCGGAGGGTCCGCCTCTACCAGTCGCTTTAATGATCCAGGCTCTGTTATTGTTGAATGTTGATCAAACTTGAACTTGCTAACATACTTTCTGGAACTTTCCCAGAACTTATCTGGATGTTTCTGAACCTGCAGAGGAGCTTTGCTGGAACCTAAAAGGAACGTCTTGAAAAGTTTTGAAGATTTAGGAGGTTTTAGTAATAGTTATGGAAGCTTAAAGGCTTTAATTAACAATCTGTGGCGTGATATTTCTTATGGTTCAGAAAAAGCTGCTACGGTCTGGACTATGTTGGCATGAATTGATGAGGATAGTTTTCCTCTGGTTGCTGCCGGTTCAGCTACTGACCGGTCTTCTGTTGATCAGGCGCTGATGGAAGCGAGCCACCCGGCCAAACACCTCTTGGCAGTAGGAATGAAGCTCCTCCAGCTCGTCCTCAATCAGCACAGCGTCCAGAGAAGCGCTCTTCTGGATCAGATTCTCCCCAAAAACTATCAGGGCATCGATCTTGTTGGTGTTGAGGGTGATCTCCTGCTTGAAGCCCTGCAGAAAAACGGTTTAGACTCATGAGAAGGAAGAGCAACCTATGACCAAACCATTGATTTTATGTGGCAGGATTGCTTATTTAGACCCCGAATTAGGACAATACTCAGCCTTTACTGACAGCATTTCTGAGACCTGACTATTGGTGATTGCAAAATAGCATCATAACTACTTCATTACCTTCTCTTCTTATGCATACATGAGAATATTTATATACCTCTCCTGTAGGCTAAATGAATAAAAGCCAGAATGAAATGCCAAATGCCAAGATGAAGATATAAAGCTCCAACATCTCTGCGTTTCCAGTAGGCTCTGTCACTACCATGTAAAGGAGAACAGGAGGTCTTACTCTCAGCTGCCTCATCTTGTCTTCGATGTCGCTCTGGGAGAAGTGCTCCACATTGGTGAGCTGGAGGTCCATCTCTGTGAGCCAGACCAGTATCCCTTCACGGGTTCCTTCAAACTCTTCTCTCTGGGAAGTAAAGTGCTGCATGGGACAAAAATCATCATTTCAGAATCACGCTGCAGGATGTCTGAGGTGAGGTTTACGGTGACCATCTATAACTAAAACTATGACTCGTAATGTTTTAGTTATCAGAGATCCACGTTTAGCTCGTCGTCAGTTTTCCTTATCGTCATAAAAAAAAAAGGGCCGTCAACGAAAAGATTTCGTCATCATCATTGTTGATGAAAACAACACTGATCTAGTAGCTGTGCTGTATTCTGGAAACTCCTCTAGAACCTCTGGATTTTAAAGTTAGTATCCAGGCTTCAGGCTGCTGAACATGCAGAAATTAAAGTAGGCCCCCCACGTAGCTGTCTTCCAGCAGTGCCTGAGCAGCACTTCGATTGGGTAACTGTACGCAGAAAGCATAGTCGTGGATCTCTGCCCACTGGTAACCAACAATCCGTCCACATCTCTAACCAATTTTCCCCACTCAGTGACACACCCACTGAAATGCCCACTCTGGTGATTGGCAGCTCCATAGTCAGACACGTGGCATTAGAGACACCAGGGACCATAGTCAAATGTTTGCTGGAGGCCAGAATGGGTCACATCAAATCCTACCTGAAACTGCTGGCTAAGGATAAGGTTAAATACAGTAAGATTGTTATTCACGCTGGTGGTAATGACACCCTGCATTCAGACAGTGTCTTGCCCACAACCAAAATCACAAATTACAAAATAATTCTAAAGGAGTAAATCATGATAATATAATAGAAATTAAAATAACTTCAATTGGGGAAAAAGTTAAAACGATTAAATCTGGTATATTTAACATAAGATATCTTTCCTCTAAAGGTCTGCTAGTTAATGACTTGATTTATGATAATCACATTGATTTATGTTGCCTTACAGAAACTTGGCTGCAGCAAGAGGATGATGTGAGCATAAATGAGGCTATTCCTTCTAGTTGTTTAAATTTTCACATACACAGAAGTTCTGGGCGAGAAGGATGATTTTAGACTGCTTTGATCCAGTTGATCTTTCCGAGTTAGCAAAACTATTGTCTTCATATAAGCCTTCAACTTGGATGTTAGATCCAGTTCCTACTAGGTTATTTAAGGAGGTATTCCCTTTGATCTTCTCCTCCATTTTAGATGTGATTAATCTATCTCGGTTACAGGGATATGTACCAAAGGCTCTGGGGCCCTTCCTATTCGTCTACATGCTCCCCTTGGCTCAGATTATAGCAAACAACCAGATCAGTTACCATGACGGTGCAGACAACACTCAGCTTTACATCCCAATGTCAGCAGCTGACCATGAACCCACACCCTGCTCTCACCTTCAGCCTGCGGATCACAGCCCCCACCCGTCTCTGAAGGGAGTCCCACCGCTGGTTCCCATCATGAACCAAGAGCTTCAGCTTGCAGGCAGCATCAGTGCGGTTTTCCCGGGCCAGGCGGTGGTACTGTTTGTTAACCAGCTCCAGTTGAGTCAGCCGCTCATGAACCTGCCGCTGGAATGCCTTAATGGACAAGTTGTAAATTAGGATTTCTAGCCATGATAAAGGTTCTCTGACAGAGACCAAACATTGTGATCCAACCTAACGGATAAATGAGTTTCCCATTTTCCAGTGGGAACTTATCTATTTTAGATAAACTTCTGCAGTATGTACTTTGGACAGTAATTTAGGAGAATTAAAGTTTAGTAAACCCTCTACACGTGGTGGCATTAGTAGAATGTCTTCATTAATCTTAAATCAGTCTTTTATAATGGTAAATGGTAAATAACCTGTACTTATATAGCACTTTTTTAAGTCAGGAGACTTGACCAAAGCACTTTACACTACATTTAGTCATTCACCCATTCACTCACTCACACATGGTGGCATAACTACATTTGTAGCCACAGCTGCCCTGGGGCTCACTGAAAGAGTGACCTAATAGACTTAATCTGTTGATTTTCCAGAAATTTGGTTTTTGAAATCCCAAACTAAATGTTCCAAGAATTTCATTCCTTCCCTGATCCATTTGGGAAATCTTCTCATAGATAATTTTGCGTGATATCAGGGTTGCTAAAGATGGCCGTACGGTTAGTGAGGATTCAGTCATTTTAATAAACTCCCCCCAAGCTGTCAGAGATGAGCTAATGCAGAAGCTTTTAAAGTTTATTGCCTATTATGTTTAATCTAATGAATGTAAGATCTGCAACACTAATATCAGATGATAGAAACTTTTCTACATCTAACCAGGACTCATCTTATGGTTTTGACCATTTACTCATGAATTTTAGCCTATTTGCTAGGAGGTAATGATGGAAGTTGGGCAGATTTAATCCTTCATTGTCTTTGGTCTTTTATAGGGTTTTAAGCTAATAGGTGGGGTGTTATCGTTCCAGAAAAAGTTGGTAATGGAAGAGTCTAAAGATTTCTGGTTTAAATATTTGGTTTGCTTTGAACCATTAAAAAAAAGGTTATTTATTTTTGGAAAGACGATTTTTATAGAAGCAACTTTACCAATGAGCGATATGGGATTTCCATCCAGCAGGATCATCTTCCACGTTTTTAATCAGGATATGTGGTTTAATTTTATTAAATCCACAATTTTTAAAGACTTGTTGGAGTCATTTTTGCAAATTACAATTAATGAATTGGGATTTTGATCAATATACAGAGTAATCTGAGATTCTGAGGAAAGATTGAATAGCTGGAGAGAGAGAGCGAGGTTTGTGAGTGCTGGAGAAAGAGTCCTTCATCATCTGCATAAAGGCTGACTTTAGGTCCCTGCATTTAATACCTTTTACATAATCTGTTTCTGGATTTATTTAAAATAACTGAATTAACTGCTAGGTCTTTTTGAACAAACTGATCGTTTATGGAAATGTTCAGAAGCCCAGATGTGTTTTTATCAGCACAGCTGGAAGCTTAAATAACTGCTGTGGTTGAGGAGATGCAAAGATGAAAAGTGACAGTAATTGCCTGACCTCAAACTTCTTGAGCTCCTCTTTGGCACAGGTGTAGAGGACATTAGAAGAAGCAGGGTTGGCTGCCGTGAGCTCAGCTGACTTTAGCCAGCCTTCAAAACGAGAATAATCATCTAGGAACCTACACCAGAGACGCCAAGTCTCCTCAATCCTGGAAACGACAAATAAAACAAGGTAAGTCTTTATCAACCAGGTTTTCCTCAGTTCTTAAAGAGAAGCCAAACCTCATCCTGCGCTCCAAGGACATGGCACAGATGTTCCTCCAGCGGCGGTCCAGGTTGTGAGCGGTCTGCTGGATGGAGTCGTTCTCTGAATCCCCGCCACAGGCATCAGCATCATGGAGCAGGATGTCACACAGCTTCAGCACCGATGCCACGCTCTCAGTGTGCTGCTCTATGTCGAGCTGTAAACCCTGCAGGTCCATAAAACATGCAGATGGAGAATCTTTCTGCTTCATCAGATGTTAGTTCCCCCCAAAAACTTTTCTAATTCTTTTTCTAATTTTGGTTTTCATCCTCCCGGGTCCAAAAGCACGCCGGCCTCTGGATGATGTGTGTGTGTGGGAAGATAACCTGTTTACACAATCATGAGGACCTATTTCCTTATGGGGACCAAACTTCTGTTCCTTCTTTGAGCCGGGGTTAGGTTTAGGACTAAGGTGTGGATTCAACTCAGGTTAGGGTTAACCATACGTTGGTTACAGTGGGTCTGAATTAGGGTTAACCAAACATTTGTAATAGTTAGGGTTATTAATACTTCAAAATACAGAAATTTTTGGAATTTAGAAACATAAACTTTTATCACACCTTTTACATGAGCAAAGCTGTAAAAAGATATATATATAGAAATGTTTATATATATGTGTTTATAAAGGAAGATTTGCCATGGAAAATTATTTGTTTGTCTTGATTGTTGCCATCGCTTTATTTCTCAGCAAACGGTCTGTTTTACAATCTACGTACCAAATTAGTTAAAGGTTACTTTCATAGTCAGTGCATCATCTCATGCATTGTCAATAAGATGGACAGTGTCCCTCAGCATAGAACCAGATCAGTTAGAGAAAAACTGGAGGTTCAGAGGTCATCTGGTTCTGATACAGCTGGATCAGCAGATCAAGGTTCTGATAAAGGTTTAAGGGTCTTCTATGTCACTAAATGAGACCTTCCCCTCCATAGAAAGCACTGCTGGACCAGTTTGCTTGTTTTTGTTTGTAAATGATCAGATTAGATCTAATAATTCCAGAACTTTATGGTTCTGTTGTGGCTGTACGGTTTGGTTCCGTTAGCAGGAGGCTCTGAGCCATGAATGTAGAATCAACTCTTTATCTGCCTTCATGGTCGTGTTCCATGATAAAAACTGACCATGTTTGGGTTAAAAAAAGGCCCTGATTGGTGGACCTCTGGAGACCAACATGGTCAGAGTCAGTGAGGGCAGTCAGACCGCCATAGCAGAGATAATCCTGCAGACACAGAGCTGCTCTTTATAATCTGGTGTACAGAGATTATCAATGATCTTCAGCTGAAGCTTAAATCTTTGAAATGAAGAGCAGAAACATCTGCAGCCTGTCCTGATGCACAGCTGCTAAGGAGCAGAGATCTTGGAAGTCAGGCATGCATCATAAACATGAGGAATGGGAGCAGAAACACCTTGAAGCTGCTGCTCTCTGAAGCAGTGGAGGCTCAGAGGAATGAATTAAACCCAAACGTCATGTATTTTATTAACAAATGTTAAAAAACATCAAACTCGTCTCTACATCGAGTGAAAATAGCTGCTCCAGTAACCATGGCAACAGTTTAGCACCAGATTACTAAAGGATCCCTACTTCCTGGTCTGAGTGTCATGATGAGAAACACCTCCCTGTCTGGCCACTGTCAGTCAGATCATGTTCGGCCAATCAGCTTTACGACCCGCCACTGCTCCATCAGAGGCTGAGCCTAACTGGCCATCACAGATTTTGGCATTATCCAATCAGGGCTCTACTTTCTCGCTGGTTGCTTCAATAGACAGAGCCTCAAGCCTGAGTGGGGCTCTAACATGGAGACTGACAGGCAGCGACCTGTTACTGCAGAGTGGAGGGGAGATGGCATGCCAGAGTGAAATAAACAGCTTGTTAGGAATCCAGTCTGTGTGGGTTGTGTTTTTTGTTTGTTTTCCCTCCACCACCATGTGCCGCCTGGTTCTCGTTGGTCCTTTCACACACCTGCGGATGGTTGCCTCATTACCTGAGGACTCTTAAGCTGCTGACTGCCTCTACCTCGACGCCAGAGTTCTTACCAGTTTTGGGTACTCTAGCCAAGCTGACTTTTGCTGAGTAAAACTGGGTTTTAGTCAACCAGAGTCTTAACCTTGTTGTTTTTGTCTTTGCCTCTCGGCAGGAAGTCATCCTGCAAACTGGATGTTTTGGATCTTCTCTCCCTGGAAGGATCATCTGAGCATCAAACTGAGCTGAGGATTCAAACTGGAGGATTGGATCTACTTTTCCCCAAAGGATTGTTTGAGCTTCACACTGAGCAGGGGATTCATCTCCACAAGAAACCGTTCAAGTACCATTGGAAATCTAAGTGGCAGTCAGCTCCTCCGTTCCTCAAGGAAACACCTCAACCTTGGTAAACACTTTCCACCCTCCAACGAGCAAGTCAATAACTGGAACAACCCTCACTGACTGGATTCAGAGAAAGACACCTTTTCTGGAAAAGTGAGTCCTTTTGCCTTTATTCCCTTTTGTAAATCGAAGCTCAAATTTCCCACTGAGCGTGAACTAACCACAGGAATTTCCCCTTAATTTTTCAGTCCCAGTTCACCAGTGTTCAGAGAAGCACTGGACCCATCTCTACCAGTTCTCAATAAACTTGTTAAACATTCCCCTGGTCTCTCTGTTTGGGTTTCTGCATGTGGGTAAAATCATGACACAGCTGATTAATGAATTACACTGATTAGTGCATATTTAATGCAGTTTAATGATTTCATTTATAAAGTTTAATTAAGCATATTTAACCAATAATTTTAGGACATTTCCAGGGGCGGTTTAGCCTCCCTAGTGTTCAGTGAGAAGACAGCTGTGAATACATCAGGTGGATGACATTTTGTCCTTTATTGTCTGAGGAGAACAGAAGCGTCTCAGTCACTGATTGGTTCTGACATGAAGACATGTGTAGCTAACCTGAGCGAGGTGGCGTTCTGGAGGAGCACGCTGTTTTTCTTGGACGTACTCTGAGCTGATTGGTTTAGTTTTGGTTACTGGTTTCACGCTGGGAGGATGTTTATTGACTGTTGGTCCTGAATCCCAGCTGTTGTTTTTTTGTAGACCAACCCAGAGCTGCTGTTTGTCACCATCTGCTAAGCTGATGCTCTCTGACCTTCTCCTCTGGACCTCACTAAAGTATTCCCACCCTTTAGCCTTCTTTGCAGAATATTACATAGTTAGGGTTCCGGTTCTGAACACAATGAAGAGTTTATCTAAAACCTCCACACTATGAACTGGACTTTCCTGTGAAGACCTGCTTTAAACCCTCTAAGATGTGTCCTCTCCTCCCCATCCTCATTCCGGACCGACCTGAAACCTGCGTTAGGACTTTTACGGAGCCTTTCCCTACCTGCTGCTCAGCCAGCTTCCTGTGGATCTCCTCGCTGTGGCAATCCTTGTAGACCACCGGCTTGGCCAGCTCTGCCTCAATGCAGGACAGCCACGTCTGCAGGTTGCTCATGTTTTTATCCAGCTTCTGAACCGTGACCAACGTCTCCTTCAATTTCCTCACCCTGCAGGGAAAACAGAAGCCAGAGCTGCTGAATGGAGGGAAGTGATGTTTCTGTTCATTCCATCTTATTGCTGATTAACTGCCGACTAAAGTGAAGAGCTGAGCTCTTTGTTGGGTCTCAGTAACTATCCCTCTAAAGTGACCTGTCACCTGATCAGAGCGAGCCACATGGCAACCTGTCTTAAGCCTTTAGGTCAGGGACTTCCTGCACACAGATGGTTAGGAGTCCCACGTTCCTGAACATCACCAGATGATGATGTCCATCAGAATGCTGATGATTTCTGACCTCAGAGGTGAACCTCAGCTTTCAGTCAGTCAACTAAATGGTTTTACAGTAGAGGCAGAGTAACCTGAACCCACAAGAGCCAGAACCTGAATCACTTTCACCTGCCTTTCTGCTGCCAATATACTTCCTTGTCCCGTCCGTCTGAAAAAGTACTAATAAATTAAATTTCTGTAATAAAATAAAACCAATAAAAGTCAGATTTAAGCATTATTATATTCTAGAATTGTGCCACTTAAGGTGTCTGCAGGTTGGAGTAGCTCTGCTAGCTTGACTAGAGAAATGTAGGTCCTTCGTTTGTGAATCAGATTTTCTGATGTTTATTGCCTCTGCTGGGAAACTGCAAGGATTTTTAATGATATTTTTTCCTTTTTGGATACCTGCTATGATGCATAAACATACATATTTTTACACCTGGGAGCAGCTAGTTAACATCTCTAAAGCTGATATAATACTTCTACCTCCACAATAACCAGCTGAGTTATGAAGGAGCAGAGCAGGACCAAAGAAAGAGAGAGGAAGAAGAAATTTAAGTCAAATCTTCCATCAATCATCATGGGTAATCTGAGATCTCTAGGAAGAAAGTAGAAGAACACCCATACTCTAGCAACGACCGAGCCAGAATATCGGTAATACAGGATTCTGTCTTCTTGAACCCCAGTCGGCCTCAGCAGATGGCCGCTTACACTGAGCCTGGTTCTGCTGGAGGTTTCTTCCTGTCCACATAGAAACATGTGCTGCATGAAAGGCTGGAGTCAGCAGTAGGCAGCTGCTGGGCTGCGTGATGAACCGCCGGGCTGCTTTGGATGAACAAAGGCCCGGGGGCATCCAGTGTCAACGCTTCTAATCCCTCTGATGGTCAGACTCCAGCAGTCATCTCATCGCACCAAGTCAGGCAGAGAAAACCAGTATGTAGCCGACCCAGCAGACCCTGAATCTGCTGCACCGGAACTCTAGTTCTGCTGGTCGAAAGAGGTGATATGAGGCTGCTGGAGCCCACAGGGCATCGACTCAGGTCAGCCCTGTTAACCTTCCTCACTGCTTCATAAAGCTAAACAGAGACATTCCTTCATATATCAGAATGAGACAGAAAGGTTCCGTTTATTTCTAATGATTCACGGTGAAAACCAAACAAAACCTAATCTGATTGATTGTACCTTCAAAAAGTAAGAGAAACTACATTAGCGATAACCTCTACTTAGATCCTCCTAGATAACACCCAGAAGAAACCTGTAGAGATCATTGCAGCGGGAAAAGGAGGCCAGCAGTAATGGTTCCTCTCAGTCTCACTCTAGCTGTTTTGGTTCTAACCTTTTGAAGAAGAAGGAACCCAGCAGACAGATATTTGAGGAAATTCTAGTTCTGTTCCAAACTTGGAACACTTTCCAGATCTCTGATCAATCTATGATTTAAAAATGGGGAGATGCTGGATTTTCTGCTGATCAAACCGGAAATGGAAGTCCACCTGAACATGAAAGTCAACCTGGACATGGAAGGCTGCCGGAGGTCAGCAATAATCAGACAAGCAGCCAAGAGGACAGTAGAAGCAGCTTTTCTCCTCAGACATCATATGGAATGAACTGTAGAAATAGATGATTTACAATACCACCTCGGGCTCTTGTCAGTGAAACATGGTGGTGGCTGTGTCATGCATTGTTTTCTCCACCAGGGACAGGGAGATGATTCTAGAAGAAAACCTGTAGAAAACCTGAGGTTGTGGTGGAGGTTCTCCATCCAGCAGAACCATCCTGAATATCCTGTCTAATTTCTGTCACACATCATGCAGAGAAAGTCCAACCCAGGCCTGCAGTTCGAACTTGGTTCTACTTCAGCTCTCTGGGGTGAAAATGTTACAGAGACAAAGACTTTGCTCCATGTAAACAGTTTCCTGATCAGGTTAAGCAGCTTGAGTTGACTAATGTAGGCAGACAGTCCCTGGATTTAACAGCTTACTGGGTTTCTGCCCCCTGACTATTGATCCACACAGGGCAGCACCGAGACCCACCCTGCTCTAAATAGGAGGAACATAAAGGAGAACTGTTTGCAGAGTTTCAGTCTGGCTTTAGAGCTCATCATAGCACTGAAACAGTTCTGGTGAAAGTCACTAATGATGTTCTCAAGGCCTAAGATAATAGACTTGTATCTGTACTTGTCCTGTTATACCTCAGTGCTGCTTCAGAGTCAATAAACCAATGCAATCAGCTGGTCTTCCTTAGATAGAAACTTCGAAACTTTAATCTGACTGGATGATCTGGTTGAACCATCTCTAGAAAGTGATTTGAGATGACATAATAATAATTATTCAATGACATCCGTATAAACTCTGACTCTGGAATAACCACAGTGCTGGCATTATTGGACCTCAGTGTAGCGCTTGATTCTATGAATCTTCTATGTGTCAGTAGGGGACTTTCAATCAGACACCAGAAAAATCACATTTGGCATTCCTCAAGGATCCATTCTGGGGCCCCTTCTATTCAACATCTACATGCTCAACATCTACATGTTCCCCTTGGCTCAGATTATTGCAAACAACCAGATCAGTTACCATGACGGTGCAGACAACACTCAGCTTTACATCCCAATGTCAGCAGGTAACCATGAACCCATCAGAGCATTGGTTAAATGCTGAGAACAGATCAATATGTGGACGAACCATCAGACCTGAACCTTCAGAGGCTCAGAAAGGCAGTTACTAAGTCAGCCTTTGATCACCTGAAGAGCATCTCCAGGATTAAAGGACTGATGTCCAGCAGGATCTAGAAAGTTACTCAAACTAAAAGATATTGAATAGATTTTCCACAGTACCCGATTACTTTACTTAGTAACTAGATACTTGTAATTAGCTATAACTGATATACTGACTTTGGGGAGAAGTAACTAGTACCTGTATATCTAGTTAGTTTTTGTAATGAATGCTCCTCTCAGAGTGAGGGGGAGGGTGGAGACATAGAGCGTGAGCGATATATGATCTGTTCCTCTATAGGTGGGTACTGACGGTAAGAGATACTGTCAAGCTGAGGAGTTTTATGAAGCCTTTTTGGCTTGTGAAGCTTCAAACGCAACGAGCAGGTATCGTGGGGGCAACCATGCCAAAACCCCGGCAGTAACAGAAACAAAGACTCAGGCCTGGAAGGCCTTAGAGAAAGACCAAAAAGCTTTCAGGCTTCCCTCTTCTGGAGGTGGAATCTGACTTAGGATCACTGGATGGTGGAAGGAACACTTTGCGAATATATAGAAGTTCTTTACAGCAGGTAAACCCTTTGCTTATAACTTCCGTTTTCTCTTCCATTGGTTCCTACCTGGCTTCTATGTGGTCGAACAGATGCTGCCAACGGTCGCTGACATCCTTCAGCTTCACGTTGGTCTCTGCCTCCTTGGTCTTGTTGCTTGCAGTGATGAGCTGTTCTCCCAGCTGCTTCAGATGGGTTTTATTCTCACTAAACAGGTTGATCTCCTCCATGCAGTCCTGTGAAGAAACCACAGAAATAGATCAGTCAGACCCAGACATGACAGAGATTAGTTCTCTGCTAGAACAGTTAATCCATCTCTTAACAAAAAAATATGTTTTTTCTGACTCTCTTATTTGTTATGGACAGGCTAAACATTATGGACATGAATTTAAAGATCCCTAAAGGTCACAGCAGTCGCTGTGGAGAGTCCCCATATGTCTGAACAGGTTTAACTACAGAGAGAAACCATTGAGTGTGAAAAACTTTCTAAAAGCTGTCCCTCACTGCTTCTGCATCAGTCACCCACCTTCTTCAGCTTTTCCACCATTGCTTCAATGTTAAAGTCAGCGTTGTTCGCCACTTTGTTCTCCATGTGGGTGAGCCACTCACACAGCTCTTTGTTCTTCTCATTGAAGATGATCCACGCATTGAGACGGTCAGCAATCTCCTGTTTGCGCAGAGACACCTATCGAAGGTAGGAGGGTAGAAAGCAAACAGGCCTCAGGACTGGAGGTTTCATTTGCAGAATAACCTGCAGCACCTGCTGCACCGAATCTTGACCTTTAGCATCAACTTTAGTATGACTACAGCAGTGGTCAAATGTAAACAGCATGGGAGAAAATGCATGGTGCAAAAAGGCATTGTTATGGAAGTTCAGAGAATTGCAAAAATAAATATATATGGTGCAAAAAATAGTGGAAGTTCAGTTTGTTTTTAGTTTGGTTTTTGGTATCAGTGTGATGCAAAGTCTGTGACATGATGTAGAGTTTCCTCAACAGTACAGTCTGATGGTGGTGGGGAAGAAGCTGTTGCAGAACCTGCTGGTCCTGCATTGAATGCTGTGAAGCCTCTTCCCAGACGGCAGCAGGGAGAACAGTCCATGGTGGGGGTGTTTGGGGTCATTGATGATGTCACTGGCTCGGGACACGCAATGCTGGGATGAATTGAGCCCCCATGATCGATACAACGGTTCCAGTTGGCTCTCACTGTCCTCAGCGCCTCTCTGTCATCAGACTTGAAAGCTGAGTTCTGTGCTTTAGGAACTCAGCGTTCCTATAGAGTTCACTTTGCATGACAGAAAGGTAATCTGATTACCCAAGGTGGGGGCGGGGGGCTGTTGTGAATACATCTTTGATGTTAGAAAAGGCTAAATCTGGAATGTTTTGTCCCCGAATTGTAAAGCCTACATGTTGGTAAAAATGAGGCAGAATAGTCTTCAAGTTAGCCTGGTTATAATCACCAGGCATAATGAAAACACCCTCTTTCCCCATAGTGCCCCATCCACTATCAACTAACACAACCCCCACTTAGCCCTGCGGGTAACTTTAAAGACTCACAATCTAAACTTCCTTACCCCACCGAGGGCAGACTCACATAAAACACTATGAAGCCATGAGGCCTAACCTTAACCTTTAGACCTAAGCTTAACCCTATCTAATGGTGCGTTCACACCAAATGTGTTTTGGGCATCAAAGCATCTGATTTACATGCAGAGTCTACGGGGGATTGCGTAGACAGCTCCAGAGGTGCGTTCTAACGTTCTGGTGTCGGACCGTCAAAGCGTTCAACGCTGGAATTTAGAAACTTTTACTTTTGCCGTCGGATGCCAGAGCGTCAACCAATCAGAAAAGCTGATCCAGAAGACTGTTGGGGGAGAAAGACACTACCTGCAAGCTGTCTTAGCTTCTGAAGACATTCTGCATATGAAAAATTATTAAATATCAACGGGTTGATTGTAAGCTTTAAAGTGTCTAAGCAACTTGACCAGCATTTGACAAATTTCACACTTTAAGTGTTTTCAATGGCAAGGGTCCTTGGGTTAAGGGTCTTTGCTCATATACCCCAAGTGGCAGTCTGGGGGAGTGGGTTTCAAACTCACAACCTCAGGATTCCAAGCCCTATGCCCTAACCACTAGGCTGCCACACCAACCTGAACCTGAACCCCCTGCTGCTGCAGTTTCTGTCTGTTTGGATCTACTGCTTGGTCTGTAGAAATTGTAGGACTTAGATCTGGTTCTAAGCAAACCAAAGCTCCTCCACTTTCTTAAGGGAGTGTCCATGCAGACTGACCTTGAAGCAGAGTTCCTCCCAATGGTAGTGAAGATCCTCCACCTGCTCCTGCGGTAGCAGTACATCATCAGTGATGATGTACTGGCACAGGTCCGTCTTCATGGTGCTCAACTCTGTCAGGCTCTCAGCCCAGTCCTCCAGGGAGTCCTTGTTCTCCTGCATACCATAACACACAGAGCAGCAGACCAAAGTGTTAGGGACTCTGTCCCACTCCCAGTCTGTCCTCTGCTCAAAGCGTTCCTCTTCCTTGTTCGCTCCTCTCCTCTTCTGCCTGACCCATGAGAGGATTAAGAGTCAGAGGCAGGAGGGGGAGGGGTGACAGCTGGGGGAGGGGAGGGTTGGGGATAAATGCTCTGATGGGTCAGAGTTTCTGAGCTATGCATGGGTCAGACAGGCTGTTTAAAGAGGGAACAAATGGAATCCTGATAGCTGGAGAGCAGGTGGACCACCTGACCATCCTAGAACCAAGAGGGACTGGACCTAGACCCTAAACCTAACCTTTGTCATTACAGTTCACCAGATCATCCAGTCAGATTGATTCAAAGTTTTTTATGTTTAAAGAGATTTCCTCTCCACTGTCGCTACAAGCATGCTTAGTGTGAGGAATTGCTGAAGAGTCAATGAGTCGACGCAATCAGCTGGTTTTCCTTGGATAGAACATTTTGAATCAACCTGACTGGATGACCTGGTTGAATTATCTATATAAAGTGACCTGAGATGACATGATGTGAATTGGAGCTATAGAAATAAACTGAATAGAATTGAGAACAACAGCAAACACGTCACACCCTGTTGACCTCTGCTGTCTGCAAACCGCCAGCCGTTAATCAGCCTGATTGGATTAGCGGTGCTGCAGACGACAGACAGATGGATGAGTCCATTAACGGTAGGTTAAACAGCCCTGCATGGAGACTTGCAGGAGCAAAACAAAGTCACTGAATAAAAAAGAAGTGGAGAGTTTATGTCCTCGGCTGATTGGTACGTCTGACTGAAATAATGACCCGTCTCTGTGCTTCCCCATCAGCCTTAAGCCTTAAGGCTAGGCTTTAAACTTTCCTTTTTGATAATGCTTGTAGTTAAAGTGGCACAGGTTATCCTGAGCTATCTCTATAGTTATGCTGCTATAGGCTTAGACTGCTGGAGGACATAGGGACCCCTTTTTCATCATTCTGCTTCATTCTATCTCTATTCCCCCACTCTGCAGAATCTATTAGTTCAATCTCTAACGTTCTGCTCTCTCTGCTTTTTCCCATAGTAGCTTCATCTGGTCTGTTCCTGTTCGGCTGTGACTCCATCCTGGAGAGAAATATAAGCTGTGCTGCTGCCATTAACACCTCTGTTTATACATGTCTTGGCCTCAGGAGATGGCCGCTCACACTGAGCCTGGTTCTGCTGGAGGTTTCTTCCTGTTAAAAAGGAGTTTTTCCTCTCCACTGCTGCTACAAGCATGCTTAGTGTGAGGGATTGCTGAAGAGTTAATGAGTCGATGTAATCAGCTGGTTTTCCTTAGAAAACTTTGAATCAATTTGACTGGATGATCTGGTTGATTTGTCTCTGATGACATGTGTTGTTAAATGGTGCTATAAATAAACGGAAATTAATTGAAATGAACAAAAATTATATTTACTAGAAACAGAAGAAGAAACTGGCAGGTTTAGAGTTCACTCAGAGAGAGCAGATAACATGAAGGACACCAAGTTGGCTCTGATGAGACCTTTGGGATGTGGAAAAGTCCTGAGCCTTTGGAGAACTGAGTTAGGTCTCCATTCAGTTCTGCTAACAGTGAAAACAGATCAGATTAGAGGCTGGAGTCACTTTAATATCTCAGCTACTACTGACTAAAGGCTCACAGGAAGAGATTCCTCCTATATTAAAAGGATTCCTGCTATATTAAAATGATCCCTGTTATTTAAAAAGGATTCTTCCTATATTAAACCGATTCCTGCTATATTAAACATCTTTCTCTACCTGTTTGCTTTGAGTTTCTCCCACTAACCCAGATGACAATAAGCAGGAAGTTCAGAGTGGAAGATCACCTGGATTATGACCTCAGTCAGATCCATCCTCCCTACCAGCAGCCTGTGAAAGTTATCCCACTGTTTTTGTAGAACTCCTAGCTAGAGCTGGAGCTGCAGCTGGGTCTGAGACTCCTCATCCACCATTAAGAAGAGCTGCCGGTTGGCCTCCAGCCTGTGAATAAAGGTGCCCTGGTTCCTCTGCAGCAGGAACTGAGGAGCAGTGTGGAGAAGGAGAGGATGAGCTGCTATAGGGGGTGGGCTTCCTGAGGAGATGGGTGTGGTTAAGACGTCACTCCATTCATCTCATTTAAGCTCCTCAGGAATGGAAATGAGAAGATAAATCCAGATTAGGAAGTTCTGTGAATTAAATGCAATGAATAGATTATTTAATCATCTCAGTCTCTGAACAATGTGAACCCTCTGATAAAACCACCAGATTCTATGTCCTGGGAGTTCTTTGGAAACTTTGCTTGAACTCAACAGGAACTCACTCATTTGTTTGGTCGTTCATTAATTCATTCATTCATTCATTTGTTCTTTCCTTCGTTCATTCATTCATTCATTCATTCATTCATTCATTCATTCATTCATTCATTCATTCTTTCATCAAAACAACTGCTGTGTTTCAGGATTCTGGTTCCACTCTGGTTCCTCTCTGATTCCACTGTGGTTACAGCCTGATCCCACTCTTGTTGCAGTGTGGTTCCAGTACGTGTTTACTCTGGTTATAGTCTTGTTCCAGTTGCAGTCTGGTTCCAGTCTGGTTCGGTCTAGTTCCATTTGGGTTCCAGTATGGCTCCAGCTGGTTTAATTAAGAGTCCTGTCTGGTTCCATTCCGGTTGCAGTCTGATTCCAGTCTAGTTCCAGTTGGATTCCACCCTGGTTGCAGTAAGGGTTCAGTCTGGTTCCAGTCTTTATCCAGTCTGGTTCCATTCCGTTTGCATTCTAGTTCCAATCTGGGACACTCTGGTAGCAGTCTGGTTCCAGTTTAGTTCAGGTATGGGTACAGTCTCGTTCCAGTCTTTATCCGGTCTGGCTGCAGTCTCGTCCCAGTCTTTATCCGGTCTGGCTCCAGTCTGGTTTCTTTCCGGTTACAGTAAGGATTCAGTCTGGTTCCAGTCTGGGTCCAGTTTTTATCCAGCCTGGTCCAGTCTGGGTCAAGTCTGGTTTCATTCCGGTTGCAGTAAGGGTTCAGTCTGGTTCCAGTCTGGGTCCAGTCTGGTTCCATTCTGGTTGCAGTAAGGGTTCAGTCTGGCTCCTTACAAAGAAAAAAAAGAAACGCAGAAACATTGTCATTTTTATATGTCAAGAATTTCTGAGAAACTCCAAAGGATTTTCTCTGGAAACAACATACCTGTGAAATCCCAAACTAACAACACACTCAGACAAAAACTGGTTAATCTTAAAGACAGAACAGCCTAACCTCAGCTGAGTGGTCTTGTGTCTGTGATCCAGTGCAGTGAGGATTGTACAGCCACCTATATTGGAGAAACCAAACAATAACTTTATAAACACATGCAGCAGCATAGGAGAGCCAGGAACTCTGGGAAAGATTCAGCTAGACACTGGTCTGAACACCTAGGTGATCAGACCTTGGACAGAGAGGACAGATAGTTTGAAGGAAGCATCAAGGAAGCTCTCTTGGTGAAAAGAGAAAAGTCATCACTGGAAAGAGGGGGAGGATTGAGGTTTAAGCTTCCAAACATTTACAATTCAGGCATGGATGTCATTCCCAAGAAATTACATCTTCACCCCCATTATGATTCAAACGACCAATCAGAGATATCATTGACAACAAGGGCTCCAACAATCCAGAAGAACAAACGGCGGCTGTTTGATAACCATCGAAATTGGAATGTGTTCAGGAGGTTGGTTCTCTGCTGCTTAAAGACATCAGAGCTCTAACTAGGTGTCAAAAAGAAAACTGTGTGTAATTGTGTGTAATTTCCTGACCTGCTTTTAGGGATTTACTAGGAAGAACCCAGAGGAAAAAAACAGCCTGTAAATGTTTATGGTTTCCCCATCAACTTTTGCAGATTTTATGTATAACTGTATATTTTTCTTTTTTTCAATTAAAGCATTTTCTATTCACTAACTCATTCAGACTTTAGGAAGGACACACGGCATCAGGTCTGTGTTTCACTTCATAATGAATAACAAGCTCTTATTAGTGGTGTTAATAATAATGTTCCTTTGACTGATAAATGTTGGTCAGACTGACGGCTGGGAGAAAGATGCTCTGTGTCGCCGCCCTCAAGGTCAGAGTCTGAACAATTCATGTCCAGGACATGTGCAGAAATCTTAGCTGGTCGTTTCATGGCTTCAGACCTGGTCAGGTCCTGGATGAAGCTCACAGCTGATAGGCTAGTACAGTTTGGACCAAACCACACAGAGATGGATGGTCTGGAAGAAAAGCTGCTGCTGGGATCCAGCCAGACTCTCTGAAGACCCAGCTGGTCAGCAACGGTTCTCAGCTGTGCTGTCAGACTCAGATGTGGATGGGTTGGTGGCAGAAGGTAATGGCTGCTAGAATCTGGGATAGAAGAAGAAGCTTCATTTGGGACATTTTGGTGGGACAATTGTTCTGATGGAGCACGAGACGTTTTACACACAGGACAGGACAAAATGTTAGATTGTAGATCTTCAAAGCTGGTTCAAAAAGATCCAAACAGACCTGCTGCTGAACCTTCAGGCGAAGGAGCTTCTAAGACGTTCTGACCTAAAGGGAACTAATAAAAATATACATCCCTAACTTCAGAATTCTGCTTGTAATGGGGTGTTTTGGCCTTATGGCCTTAAGGCGCTATTTTACATCTAACAGAAGGAGTCAGGCCATTTCCTAAATGACAGATCAGGGTCCAAACAAAGCTGGTTCTTCCAAAACTATCAATGTAAACCAACTGAATCTAAGGAAATTGGTAAAGGAAGGCAGAAGCTTCGAGACATTGAAGATTCTCTGAATCTCCTTAGTTCATCTTCTCACCTGTACTCCGCCTCGCCTTTGTGGAGTAGATGTGGAGCATCAGCGACGACGGCATGCAGGATCTCTACCTGAAACTTCTACAACAGCAGGATAGATCTGTTATCCAGACTGTTCCTCCATCATGTCTGTTATTTAGTTGATCTTTGTATTTGGTAGCTTGTGCATCCAGAGCTGCTGCCTGAGAATAATGTAGGAACCAGAGACATCCCCAGCCAGAAAGTCCTCCATCCTCTGCGGGCAGGCCATCCAGCTCTCACCCCTCTGCTCAAAGCTCTGCTACCTTAGTTCACTAC